CCGTTTTGGTGTAGAAAAAGATAAATCTTGCTCTGTGGCTGTTAGTGAACCAAGGTACATCCAGCCGATTGGATACCTACTGAAAAAATGAGCGTTGGAGAAAGGATCTGCATCAAGGGGCCTATCACGTGCCATGGTTAAACACTTAGTGCCCGCTCATAATAGAAAGTGTCGAAACGAAAATATGTTGCTGTTTGTATCCTGTGCAATGAGAATTACAAAACTGTAACCGATTTCCTTAGGCGTTCCATCGATAAATGAGGCTGATCATGCCTCTCTAATACAATTATGGAGGTATGAGCGAAAATGCGAACCCCAGGAAATGAGTGAGAAGAATAAGACGCAGTCGCTCGGACAGGAACTCCATCCGCCTGACGTGTTGGATTCGCTCTCAAACCCCTCACTATAATCAGCATTAGACAAGAGTATCTGATGCTGTTGGTGAAGATGGTGGGGATAATTTCTATTATTCTAGCAGCTTTTCTCAGACGAAGGGAGCTATATATGTAACTGAGATACATAGACTTAATGACGCATCGAATTCCTGAGGCGCGTTGCCAAAAATACTATATATCATAGAATTCGACGACTTCACTTTAATACGGCAATCTATAAATAAATTCGATAAGATTCGCAGTCCGCAAATATGACTTCAGAATTATAACAAGTATTTGGGTTTTTGGACGAGGAGAAAAATGTTTTATTTGCAGACCGTGCTTTTAACCCAATGGATTAAGGTAGTAGTTCGACAGTGTTGATGAAAGGTCGTCCCCTTCGCATGATACAACTGCAACAATACATCAAAATGAACCACATTCCAAAGGGTATTATATGTATACGCTCATTGCATGTTATTATTTTCATTCGTGCGGTATACGTGTTTTCCAGCAGGCAAAATGAATGGATTTTCGACAAAATGCCTCTGCACGGCAAACATGTCAAGATGTAGTACCTACACTTGACCGGCTTGTGAGCGTTCTCCTACTTGTTCTGCAATGAGGCTGTTCTAGGTGCAAATCCAGATAGTATGACAAACATTTTCCAACTGACCGTGGTAAATATATATAAGCTTTGTTTTTGGTGTTGCAAATATTTTCGACGCGTTGGAAGCGCGAACTGTGATATAGTTTATAGTAACGAGAAACAGTCTTTTTTAGAATTCTTCCACTGGGAATTACTGTGCCTGGAGAACGGCAACTTGGTTAACGTGAATGACTTCATTTTGACCAAACAAATTTCACAAAAGGGATTTTTTTCTTTGGCGGATTTTGCTCCAAAAGGATCACTTCGTCTAGCAAAATAAAGAAGAATAACAGTCCGTTATTTACTTGTGTAGTACGTTAAATTATCATAAAAGTCTAGGAAAAATTGCAAGGGCAACTGCATTTTGATAGGTTGAGATCCTTGAGTGGCGTCGCAAGGAATAATAAAGGAAGCAAGTACTACTGAAGGCCGAGTATACGACTACCCGATAAAGGAATTCCAATAAAGTTGTTGTGGTTTAAACCTCACCGGCTGTTAGCACAGGTTGCTTCCGTGATCAACTAACCCTAATGCAACCCAAAGGCGGATTCCAAGCAACGGGTGTGGCTTGCTGTAAAAAGCATGAGGTAAAAGTACATACCTAATTGGTGGTCTCCAGGCAGAGGCCCCTGGGGAATTTGGGGCCATTGACTAAATGGTGCAGGAAATCAGGCAAGCTTAGGCCGCACCCACTGATTCTTCCGGCTACTTTAAAGCATTGCGCCTCCAGTGCGCGTTGTCGGAGTAAAATACGGCGTCATTTCGACAATATATTCGAAATCTATTTTATCCTAACTTTCAATTTTCGCAAGTATATTATTTGTGTGCCACTAACTCAGTAAATATTTTCGTTTTCGTATCAGTAGTAGAATAGTGCATGTATCTTACTCTTTTATATGTCTGAAAGTTCAAAATTAGAGGAATGTGTTTTAGAGGACGCCTGTACCTACTTTAAAATAATCCTAGATTGATACAGAAAACCATCTTATGACTTACAAGGTATAGTCTCAGCTGATGGTGCACTTTGATAAAAGCTGTCTAGATCGCATAGAGTTTAATTTTAATATCTGATGCTACGAGACACGCTCATTTCGCTATATTCTTGCGCCCAATTTAGAGCCCATTTCGTCGGTCGCACATATACCAGAACTATAGGCAGCACGAAAATATCAATGACACGATCGCGTTCCGTAAATATTTGGGTAGACGCAATGCCGACACAATATCTTCAATTGTTGAAAAAGCTCTTTTACTTAACAAACAATTCTTAAAGAAGCGTCACAGAGTTGTTTAACCGATAGGAGGTTACCATAAAATGCAAAAATATATGTTGGTAATTGCTCAATGAAGCTACTATTTTATTTACATTTAATGATTGTTGACTCATATTTGACCGGACACGTAATAAAGTGCCTGGTAATGCTTACAAGTTCTGCTTATACAACTTCATCTAAACTTGAGTGATTCAAGTCTTCCATGCTTTTGTTACTTATGAATTAAATCTCGTGTTTAATGCCATCTCTACAGAAAATTACACTTCACCGGAGGTATAATACAATTCGGCAGACATAACTCTTGCAAAAAACCCCCGTTTTCTGCTACCGTTTTCTGCTAGGGTCTCCGATTATGAATCCGCGACGGATGTGGAAACGTCAGCCGAATAAAAATATTGTCCCAGCGATCAGGTCATTCTCTTCTCAAACATAACTCTTACTAAATGCATTGAATTGTGGCTTATAGAAAGTTCGCTTTTACGCAAACTTCACAAACAAAAAAAACACGCAATAACAAGAATAAAATAGCTGTTCACTAGCGCTTCCCGATTATTGACGCATTCCCTGTATGCTCGTAAAATAGGAGTGACAACCCGCCAGTTTTTCCCTGAAGGTGGTCTTACGCCATGCAATTTTTAGGGAAGATTACTCGCAACACACTGGTTCAACAGTCCAGCATATTTAATATGGATTGAATCGCCAGGCTTGATTTGGAATTTATTGATAGAACCTGATCCTAGAATGTCCCATGACGTAGCGTTGAGCGTCATTTGATGGATGGGGGACTTGCAATCGTAGGATAAGACGAAAATTGGATGTGCCTGATATTCCCGCCAGCCTGCGCCGATTTTGATATTTTAAAGAGGAGCGGAGCGGGAAAGCGTTACCGACAAAGCCGAGGGAACCTACAGTAGGCATTTCTGGCTTCTTAGCCGACATCGACCACTAATACACACTTCTAGGTAGTGCAGCACATGAGATTCAGGGCCTGTGATTTGTTGGTTCCAGGTTCATCACCACAAACATTGAATCACGGGCTAATTACCCCGGCAGAATCGCAGAAGCCGAATGCGCACGGGTCAATCGGTAAACGAATTTTCTGCTACAGGCATTTGTGCTGAGGGCATTTATTAAATCTCATCTTAATTCATAATGAAACGCAGCTGTTAGATGAGCTTCCTCTTGTACGCCTCGGTATGCGAATAGTTAGAGGCTGTAGGCGGCTCTACTCCAGTGCATTCGTGTGTTTTGGGTCCCAGCTAGTAGATTGGAATATGGCGGGCTGTATGAGGGGCAGAATAAGCCCGATAGCTATCCAAATTTGCTATCCTCCCTCCTGTATACAATGGGCGGCGGTGTTTTGAAAGGGACGTTTCCTGCTGAAAGCAGACAACAAACGCACCCCTGGGAACAGCTGACGGTGTTTTCGCATCCGGATGACCGTGTTTCGCTTAGAGGGCATAGCGCATTCTGTAACATGGCATATTACAATACTAACCGGCAGGTACTGCGCAGTTAACAGACCCCAAACTTGGATCCTTTGCTCGCATCTTCACCACATGCGACAAA